CACATTTTTTAGCTCAAAAATCTTATGTATTTCCATATCTCACACATAAACTATTATATTTAGGTTTATAACACTCATATATTCAAAATAAATTATTTTAGGGGTATTTACATAAATAACACAAAATTCTTATGTATTTGCATAGCTCAAACCTACATAGCTCAAAATTCTTATGTATTTATATGTTTCACACCTAAAATTTTATAATTAGGCTCATAGCATTCAAATCGATCAAAAATTTTTTGGGGCATTTCCGTACATTGCACAAACTTCTTATATATTTACTTATTTTACACTGAAATTTTATATTTAGGCACATAACACTTAAATCTTATAGAAAAACATAAAATCCATATGCAATGCATATTTAACAAATAATTCCGAATTCCAAATCTAAACCCTATACGAATCCATGAAAAAATATCAAAACTTTTGTAAAATCGATGCTTGGAGGGGTAGATGAAGCTTTCTCACCGTGGACAAAGATTGAGCGGTGAAAACGAGCTGGTGACACCGAAAATTGGGCGATGGGGAAGAAAGGAGTGAATTTTTCGGTTGTCGGGGGGGCGGGGGGGGGGGGGGGGGGGATGGCTCTTGAGGACTAGCTAATTCGACGCTAATATGTATATTTAGCATCGTCGAATCGGCCCTTCTCGCCCGCGTCAACTTATTGATGTTCGAGACTGCGCGCAACGCTAAACATACGAAATCAGATACTAATTTTGCGTATAAATTATTTTTGAAACTTATCCGCTGTTTTCCTTTGGTGATCCAAGCCGACCCCGCTTGAGGAGAAAGTAGTTTAGAATATGGAATATGTGGAACCAATTCACATTCTCAAATTTATCTTAGTCGGGAAGTGTTTAAAGTGCCATGAATTTAAACATATTGAATCAGATTGCACAACCAAAAGAACGATCTCTTTCACTGTTTAGAGAGCAGTTGTGATATAGAAGAAGATGAAGATTTCAGCGAGGATTATTAAGTTCCAAGCAATGACGAAGAGACCCGTTATTCCAGCTGGCCTCGTGAAAGCCACTCTAGCTGAATTAACAGTGATTGTTCTAGAAGGGAAAAGATTTCAGCGAGGATTATTAAGTTCCAACCAATGACGAAGCGACCCGTTATTCTAGCTGGCCTCGTGAAAGCCTCTCTAGCTGAATTAACAGTGATTGTTCTAGAAGGGAGTGAGTTTGAGATAATGGGCGTTCATGCAAAGTGTAAGATTGTGGTGCATCAAGCTACATTTTTGCAGGCATTGAAAGGAGCATCAACAAGATTGGAATTGGATGTCCAAAAGGGCCATGAGTTTGAGTCGTCGATACTAGACACAGGGCAACCTCAAATAAGGATTTTAAAATTCTCAAATATATAACCTAATTCCTGAGTTGCCCTTATTGAGGTAGGTTCAACATATCAGTTATGGGGAGCTTTTTAGCTATTTCTGGAAGATCACGTGGAGTCATTTGGGTATTAAATTCAGTGCAACGGTGTACTTATTGACAGACTGTCATGTAGAAGGGATGACCTGTAGTGTTGGAAAGCGTCTTAAGAGTTTTGTGGGAAAGAACATCATGCAATGGCATTTTGATCCTTTCAGAGAAGAGAAAGAGGCCTCTCCCGAGAGTTTACACTTCTGTGTGTCCAACATTCCACAGATTTTAGTCTAGAATTTGTTTTTCCAGATGAAGTTATTTATCGGACGCGCCCGACCTAGTAGGGGTGGAAAAAACAAAGTTCAAATTTCATGGCGTGAGAGTTACTTTGTGAAATTCTACATCTATATGCAGCTCCAACTCAGGTTGTTCTAAAAGGGGATGAATACTTTATTCTATCAGAATTTACTTTGGAAAGTCAACGCCTATAGGATGAACTTATCGAGAAGTTACAATAGTTTCATCATCTTCAACGGAGCCGACCTGACAACATAATACGAGGAGCCAAAAGCTTCAACGGATGAGGTCGAAGCTCCCCAATCGGACATAACCGGTTCAGACCCGGGAGAGTCTATCGGCTCTTTCATGAGGGATTGACTCCTCCTTTCTATAGAGGGATCCAATCCTAATTATCTAGGGCTTATATATTTGATTCCTTTGTTCTAAGTTTTCAGTTTACTGTGTTTTGTATTGGGACAACCTCCAACTTGTCTTCTTCCCTTCAAGGGCTATATCCAAGGGTTTGGGTGGTGCTCTAGCTATATCTCGCTCCTGAGGTTGTGATTATCTTTCCTATTCTCTTCTGCATCCTCCCTACATTGCTCCCGGCCGCATCTTCCTTATTGCATCTGCCCGAAACAGCCTCCGTTTGCTGTTTCTGCAGTTTCCTTGCCATCCAACCATTTTCCTCTTTGTCGACGCCCAGGACAGCCTTCTTTTTTTTGTTTGACTATTCACCTCATCCCTTATCACCGTTCCAGCCATCCATCATGGCTGCCACCTCCAATACAGTCCTCATCTTTCACTGCTGCTGCTGTTCCAACCCTCCATACCTGCTGCCATCGCTGTCCCAGACCTTCATTTTGCTACCCCTTGCCGCAATCCCCCTTCCCCTTGCTGCCGTTGCTCGAAACACCCAACCTGCTGTTCTCCAGGCTCTCCCTGCTGTCACCTCCTTGCTGCCAGCCACCCGGAACCATTCCTCCTGCAGCATTACTGCTGTACCAGCTGTCAGAATCCTCTTCGCTGCTGTTCCAGCCGTTTTGGACCACCTCTAACCGCTGTTCCTCCACTTTCTAGCCATCCACCATCTTGCCGGCAGCTTTCCACGTCCGCAGCAGTCACCACCATCTCCTTAGATCTGCCCTAGTTGCGTGTCATGTGTCGTGCTGTATTTTTTTCCATTTTCATGTGTTGGTTGTAACCGTCGATTGACTTTGTTTATAATAATATTTGCCTTTCCCATTTTTGTTTTGTTTAACTTCTATATCATTCATGAAAGGGAATGATTCAATTTCAAGCAAAGACCAAATGTTAAGAAAACATCATGTCTTATTTGTTGTACATCTAAAACAGAGGGACCTCATGCTGAGAAATTGATGCATGGGTTGTTACCAAACATTGTAACAATGGCTTAATAGAGCACCTGTAAGACATGGTCTCCCAATAGTTTTTACCAGTGAACAAGCCGAAATGACAAACTTGCATGAGAAAATTATGGTGAAAGTGAAGCCTAGCAAAGTGAGAATTAATTCCTTGGCCCTATGATAAGCCCCATCAAATGGTCCAGGCATGCGTATAGCCCTATTCTTCCCATTTCCAAGCATCGTGGGAGACCAAAAGTATCTGAGCATCCAAATTAAAAACAAATTAATTTTAAGAAATATTGTTAACGAGAATTAAATGAGCAAACTAATTTTTAAATCATGAATAAGTGTAAATGAGAATGAATGAACCTGATTTCAATTAGTTCAAACAATTGGAACAATAAATTTGAAAAAACTTGTTGCACTTTCTATGTCCACTGGTAATTTTTAATTGCACTTTCTATTTCCAGTGGTAATTTTTAATCTTTCTTGCTCATTATTGGAAATAGTTAAATAAAAGCCATTGCCCTTCAAGCACAAGGCAGATCAATAAATTTAAATTTTTAGATGTATTGCAAATTTGGCTGGAGTAGGTTGAATAAATAAAAATAAATTTATATAAAAAATTGATATTAAATTTAAAGTTTATTCTCTCTCTCTCTCTGCACGCGCTTGTATGTGTGCGTGTGTTTGTGAATATTCATATATATCATTGAATAGGAATAAAATAGTTATAAAGCATTTAGAAAGAAAGGCATACTTATTCTAATATTTAAATGTTATTGAAAAATATACATATTTTTCAAAATTAAATTGCATTGCGTGTCATATTCAAATTAAAAAATTAAGAACCCTTGATGTTATTGTTAGATTTAAAATGTATTTGGATTCAAGTTTAAATTTCAGAAGTAAATAATAGCATGTCATAGTGAAATTTAAAAGTAATGATATTCATTGTGTGATAGTTTTTAATATGTTTGAATTTAAATTAAAAATGTGCTTCATGTCGACCAGGTAATGCACCATTATATTTGTTTAGTATATCAGGGTTTTTATGGGGCGCTTTTTTTAAAATATTCTATCTCATAGAGATACTTAGTCTCATTGTTGATTACAATGGATTATCAATTTTATTGGTCGTTCAATCATGCTCATGTTAATAAATTGAGAAGAACATAAAATTCATGTGGTTTGAGCCTTATGCCAAAACCTTACTCTGTTCACTTGTCTTTCAGAATAACATTAGGTGAATTGCATTTTCAGAGCCCTAAATGTAAAATAAGCTTGTTGCAATATTAGGAAGTTCTTTTAATTTCTAACGTTCTCACTCTTTTGGTTACATCGGCAGTGCTCCAGTTGCTTAATGTGATGCAGACAAAGCTCATTCTGGGATTAAATAAATTTCAAAACCGTCTCATTGTTGTCGACTTGATTAGCTAAAATGTGGCAAATAACCTTTTAAATTTGTAATTAACTTGATTAGCTAAAATGTGGCAAATAACCTTTTAAATTTGTAATTAACTATTTTTAGGTTTTCATATTTGGGGTTAAGACTCTCATTTTGTATAGTTTCTTTTGTTTATTTAGGATTTTTTTTTTATTTAATAGTTCTGTTTTATTTCTCTAAGCCACCAGGGCTTTACTGCATATACTTTATCCTTCACGATTCAATTGTAAATTCCTTTAATTTTAAAAATTCGATTGATTCAGTTTGATAATGTGATGAATTTGCAACCTTCAGATCTGCTATCAATCAGTTTGTATTTTATCATGGTTGATCAACCTAATGGGGGCAGTCAACAGATGTCATTCTTAGTGTTGTATTATATTTGATTTTTATGATAGTTGAATCTGTAAATTTCTTTCATATTTTTATTTTAATATATATGGCATGTAGTAGCACAAAATAAGTATTATTTGTATAATGCTACCTTATTTTGGTCTTTTAGTTGGAATAATGTTTGGTCAATATTTGTAGATGATTAATGACCGTGAAGTTGGTGGGAAATGCTATGGTTTTGTTACATTCACTAACCCCAGATCCGCTGTTGATGCTATCAACGACATGAATGGCAGAGTATGTGCTTCCTTTCTGAGAGGATGTGACTATCGATCGTAAATTGGTGTAAATGGTCTAAAAAGACCATGCAATTCATAATTTATAGACATTGTTTTTTCTAATGGTGATTTTTTGTCTTCAATTAGACCATTGGTGGGAGAGTTGTTAGAGTTAATGATGTTCGGCCTAGAGGTGCAAGGCCAAATTTTCAACGTGAGAATTTTCGTCGTGATGATGGGAGAGATGTTGATTGGGATAAGGAAAGGGATAGAGAGAGGGAATATGTGCGTGATAGAGAACGCTATAAAGACAGAAATATTGAGAGATCTAGAGACCGTGATAGGGAAAGGGAAAGACGTGACTTTGATCGAAGTCGGGATCAAGATGATAAAGATCATGCACGTGATCGTGATCGCGATCGAAATTGGGAAAGAGATCATGAAAGTGATTTCGATCAAGATAGAGATGTGGATGAAGTTCATGATGCCAGTAGGGATAAGGGGTATCAATCAAAAAATAAGCTTCGGTAAGCTTTTCTCATTAAATTTATACATGTGTTAGATTAATCACTTATATAATGTATTTTTTTTTTCAGGTATGTTCATCCACTAGAAAGTAATATGGCACCTTGATTCATATAAATGAATTTTATTAGACAAAAAAGTCTGAAGAAGAGTAATTAATGGCAACTCTACAATATTTTGTTTTTTTTTATTTTTTATTTGGCTAACCAACTTAATGATATATTGAGGAGTTATTGGCTATCATTGAAGTATATGATTTCACATTGTATACTTAGGTTGATTAGATTATTCTTTTATAAAATGAATCAGTAATATGCCACCAAGATTCATATAAATGAATTATATTAGATAAAGAAGTCTGAAGAAGAATAATTAATGGGAACTCTACAATTTTTTGTATTTTTAAAAAAATTTTTTTTGGCTAACCAATTTAATGATATGTTAAGGAGTTATTGGCTATCATTGAAGTATATGATTTCACATTGTATACTTAGGTTGAACTGATTATTCGGTTATAAAATAAATCAGTGAATGCTCCGGAGGTTGTGATTTCATCTAATGTGAACTAAAAAAATTATTTAGTTTATTACATATGTAAAGTTAAATGATAAAATCTCAAGTTTGATAGAACAAGCTCAAAGAAAATCATTAATCATCTTCCTCCCTTTAATTCACATAATTTTATTCTTCTATTATTAGAATATATTCATTTTGAAAACCTTTTTCTTTTTATCTCTCTTGAATAACAATAAAGGTTTCACTTTGCATCTACTTCTATTGTTATTTTATGCATCCACAATGATGGATGCTTCATCTCTACCTGCATATGTTTCTATTGCTGTTGAAAACAGAAGAAGAAGAACTTGGTTGTTTGAAAGATGAAGTTCTACTAAAGGAAAAATAGATTATACGGATGCAATGGAGGAGGATGATTAATACTTTCCTTTGAGCTTGCTTTATGAGACTTGAGATTTTATAATTTAACTTTACCTTTTGTCATGAACTAAATATATATTTTTAAATTCAAATCTCTTTCTTTTAATTTTATCATGCAATCTTGAAGTTCTTACATTTTACATGTAATGTCTACACTCCTAAGCTTTTCTTAAATTTAATTTGTATGTTTACTTTTAAATGTTGTCTTCAAATTATGCATGCACATCATATTTAATTTTAATTTTATATTAGGCTTTAAGTTTTTTTTCCAAATAAATCCATATTTATTATTAAAATGAACTTTTTTTTGGAAGTTCAACATTTATCAAATATTTTTTTTTCTTGGATACTTTCTAATGACGCATTCATATGTGGTTATAGCCAGTTTTATTTCCAAATTACAGTCCTTTCCAACCTTCGTTGCTGTGTAGTTTCTCTTCAGTTTTATTGCTTTTTGAACTTGCAATCGCAAATCTGCTTGAGCTCTGTTCTCTCTGATTTATCTGGTCAGGAGAACATTTAAATTAATGGGTTCATCAACTGTTTCAAAGGTTTAATGCATATTGAATTCAAGGGTATGTTTACTTGTGTCTTTTTTTTGCATTTTCAATTTTTATAAATGTGTTTATGTTGCTTAATAACAGGGCACTCGACCATTGTCTAATTCTCACAATTTAAAGATTAAGATTTTAGTTTTGCTTTTTTTAGTTATGCCAACCTCTGATGCGCTTGCTACTTTTTTTATTTGAAAATTAGAGATGTTTTTGACAAATAAACATTCTCAATATATGTGCTAAATTTTGTGCGTGGATAGTTTGCAATTTGTTCTATGGGTATCAGCATTTGAATCAACTGTGCCATCTTTTTTAGTATGGAATGCTTTATTCATTAACTTTTTATTGGATTTTACAGTTCTCACTCCGATGACCGACGTAGTAGAGAGCTGTCATCAGATTTCAGTGAAAAGCACAGTGACCAGGTTAGCTACACTTTCATTGTTAAGATTAGGGTTGGGAACAATCTGATTCAAAACTAATGATCTAATTGATGCTAAGTTTTGCAAATCTCCATCCAAGCCAAACCTACCTCTTTAATGTTGATGCAGGGCCAAAAAATGATCTATGTTTTGGTCATTATTTGGTATGCATTAAAATCTTAGCTTTAAAATTAACTTTTGTTTTCTGCCACACTTTAATGTTTTCTACTTGCATAATAAATATATTTTTTGTTTTGGTTTCAACTGAGCTTTTTCCAATCCTGGCATCAATCTTAGGTCAAATCTGAAGTAGATCATACTTGATCTTCTTTTTCATGTTTATCCAAGCCAATCGGGAAAATTCTTTTTCTTTTTTTTTTCTTAAATGAAATTCACTACCTTTTTCAGAATCATGGAGATTGAACAATTCCCGCTGTTTTCCTTTGGTATAGCTAATTGCTTTTCATTTTATGCATCATCTTCATTATTAGGTTAAAGAGCAATTGGACATAGCCATTCATAGGCGAGGCGAGCTTCAGGGAGAGGTACTTGAATGCATTTTATGCAATTAAATGCTTACGAGTTCAGTTAAAAGTAATAATGATTGCCGTATCACTTGGGTATTAATCAAATATTATTTTAACATGATAATTTTTTAAAGAAAAAATTGATTGATATGCTGACAATGCTCTGACAGTAAGCACAATATAAGTTGTCTATTTTCAACTTAAGCCACAGAAAAGCTATATTTGAAGGGACTGGTTTTAGTTTTTGGGATTCAGCTACCAAATTTTTGAATTAATAAACCTCTTTTTCTTAAAGCCTCGTGAAATCATTACTAGTTTTTTTCAAATCCACGCATAATGCAACTTGCTAGACTGATGAAAGATAACTTGATCTGGGAACAAAGAAATGGATGTTGCCTGCTATTTTGTTCATATACCCTTTTTCTCAAGGCATTTGCCCTTTGTTCTGATTACTATTTTCAAATTTAAGAAAGTCCAATGCCCAAGATTTTGATATGATTTGTATGCATTTTGTATTCGCCGGCATTGTTGTCACCCTAACAGATGAAAACACATGCACTATGTCACTTTTGTGGATATGCTCGTATAATTTGTTTTGTGGATTTAGGAAACCGGTTTGACAAGCAAGCAAAGTTCGCGAGTAATTATTTTCTTTATGCATTGAATTTAGTGTTTTATTAAATGAATAATTGCTTTATTAATTAGTTTTAAAAAATAATAATTTATTTATGTCTTGCATTTTGAAACTTTGATTTAAATTTTTAAAGAATTTTAATTAATATGAAATTTTAAGTAAATTATAAAAGCATAAAGGATTACTCCCAAATGGTATTGATAGGGGATGCAATGCGCCCATGCACGATAAATAAATGGTGAAGGTGTACCTTCAAATGCAAATTTTGAGGGTACATTCAAGTACATTTCTTAGGATACCTTCGGGTATGATGATAATTCTGTTATAACTCTTAAAGAGATTAAAATGATAAAGACCTAAATTAAAACGTGAAGGAAATTTAAGATAAAAGTTTAAAGTTTTATAAAGTAATGAATTACTTTCTTTTGGTCATTCATGCATAGCATTTGTATATAAATTTAATGCATATTAAGATTATAATTACTGACCAAGTCAAACTTATTATTGAATTTAATGTTTTCTTTTATGAAAAGAAATGTTGTAGATTATTATGTCCGATAGGAGAGACTTACTTTACATGAGGATAACTGTCACTGCTAGATATTTATGATTGTTGTATCTTTGTACTGTTTTCTTTAGATAGTGATATACTGTTCAGTATTGGTTTGAAATGTCTTCAGATTATGTTATTTATGGATATTTTGATTTTGTTACTCTTTGTGGATTTTAGTGACTTTTTTATATATTGGAATTTTTTAGAAATTTGTGGATAGTTATTTAGATGTTATCATTTTTCGACCGTAGTTCCTGACTTAGTTAATTCTAAGTTATCAGATTGGATCGTGACATCAACTCCTTCCGCCATGTGCTCCACTGAGTCAAGTGGTCTCATTGAAGCCACACCATGCTTGCCAAATAATTGGAACCTATTTTAGGCGCAAGATAAACGGGCAATTTTGTCATTTATTGTTTATTATTGTTTGGTATAATAGGTCTTAATATGATTAGGGTTTGAGTAGTTGATTGTTGTCTTTGATCGTAAGAGTTAGGGTTTGGAAGACAATTGCTACATCTCGAATTGTAAGTCTACCTTTTATGTATTTGGGATTATGTTGTTTTATGCTAGTGGAGTAAATTATTTTATTTTGCCTTAAACTCTGTGAAAACTTGTCTCGTTTCTATTAAATATCATTGCAAATTTGAAATTCTGATTCCATCTTATTCATTTTAGATTGATGTATTTTGGGAAAAAATAGCTTCAAAAATGTTTTTTTAGTGTATTGCAATTATTAGAAATGTATTTTTATTTACCTTGGCATGTTGAGTTATATGATTAAAATGTTATGGAGCTAAAGTTTTTGTCATGCGAAGATAATGTGGTACGTGGATCTAGTTGCTTGTCATTTTGTGAATTCACAAAATTTTATTATATTTTGACTGTCCTAAGTTTTTCTTTGTAAATAGGGCACTGTCTTATGCTTGTATCTCCGAAATTAGGCTTGTAATTTTCCATAATCACTAGTGAAATCTGCAAGATGACAGCATGTAGCCATCAAGTACTGAACCTGTAGAAAATTTTAGTTTATTTTTGTGCTCTGATTTTCTTTTCTATTTTTTGAGTTTTTGGCTTCCTGAATTTGAGTTTTTTTGGCCTCTTTCAATTACTTTCATTTTGTTAGTAATATCTGTTAATTAATATAAGCTACTAATTCCAATATTTTTCCTTGAATTCATTAAGTTTACAAAAATTCTTTATAAGATATGACAAACTTAAATTTGCTGTATTTCATGTAATCACTGTTTTTTATCTCCCGACTCTTAGAGAAAATTTATAACGCATGCCAATGAGGCGGTTTCTCTTTTAGATTGAATATCTTTTCCCATGCAGCTTGATCATCTTGAAGACAAGATTGAAGAGGAGGAGGAACTTGTTTCAGATTTGCAGAAGAGATTCCAGGTGATTTCATCCTATGCATTGCCATTGAACTTGCTTTATATTCATGGCTTGCTGGTCATAATTGATAAGTTGAACCCTCATAGTCATAAGAATTAGGTTTTCCTCCTTTCGCAATGAAAATTTCTTGGTTTTCTTATTCAGTTTTATCAGTGCAGAAATTAGAGGAAGCAGTGGCTGCTGCAAAAAAATTCTCTTCTCAACGTCAATTGGTGCTAACTAAAGTAAATAATCCCATCCTGGCTCTATTTGTTGGTTGCTTAATAAGTCAATTTCGTCCATTTATTTAATGTCTGCATTGCTTTTTTCCCTGCAGTTGCACAAGAACTTCGTACAAGTACAAGAGTATACTGAAAAGCTCAAAACATCTGAACAAGAACTCCAGGTCAGCTCGTATTTTCTCTCTCTCTGCTGAATTAGTTAGAATCTTGTCTACCAATCTTGCTTATTTACTGGTTTCTTGACATTATGTTTTATTTAGTGTTCTTTCTCTCTACACAAAATTGGCTTCAAAGTGTTCTGACTATTTGGAGATTGTTATATTCTGGTGGTATATTCTGGTTGACGAGCTTACAGTTCATACATGTCATATGGGGGCCTTTGGGTTTAATCTTTCCAGGAGCTGTGATTCTTCCATTTGCAGTTCATTTAAAATACTCAGAGCTTTTCGAGGATTAATTTTTTTCTTTTTTTTAAAAAAATATGTTTGTTTATTGTGTTATTTTACATGATTTTATTTTTTGTTTCCAATCAAATCAACATATTTTTGAAAACACCAAAGGCAACTTTTACGTGTTTTTAGTTTTTTTAAAAATAACAATATTTTAATCAAATAGCCGAACAATGTTTAATTTCTAATCAAAACATAAATTAAACAAAATAAAAATAGAAGAATAGAAAATAGAAGACAAAAGTGATTCCAAATAGCTCTGTAACTTTAAAGTTGAAGTGCATACTCAAAGCGAAAATAATGAGTAAGTAGGTAATAATAAAGCGACCAAGTGCGCAAGAAGACAGCGGAGACTCATATTGTTCAATCACAACAATAACTTATGTTCACATAATAAAGTGAGTTTGATCTACTAGAGGAAACCATGGAGGCGTACAAACAAAATGGCGCACAAAAAATGTCCTCCAAATCCAAATACGTTCAATCTCGCTAGCATGGTAGTCTCAAATCCTAATATTGTTGTTTGATAAATTCTGTAGGTCATCAGGCTAACTTTTGAGGCAGACAACTGGTCAAATTCCTTGTTCAGGGAAACTAGGAAATAAATATGGATAGATATAGTCAGTGGTATTTGTCTTTGATTGTACAAGTGATATTCACATTTATGGGAAGGCTTGGAGTTTGATTCCTCTCACTTTGGCCTACATTGGTGAATATCACCCTGGTGCTATCTATATTGATCGACATTTGAGAGTGAAATGGCAAGATTCTTGCCAATTGGTGTACATACTTGGAATGATTTCAAACATTTCTTCATAAAGATTCTCATTTTTTAGGCTGTATTATGGTATCCACCAATCTTTACTATAAAGGCGCGTGGTTGATCATAGAATTTAATTCGTTTGAGTTGAACTTAAAAAGTCTTTCAGTTTTCTTTAATAGTTTGTATGTAATAGGAATCATTTAGAAGTGAGCGAGCTAATTTTTCAAAATAGATTGTCTAGAGAGAAATTAGAATTCTATTCATCAACAACAACAACAACAAGAAGAAACCTTTATCCCACTAATTGGGGTCGGCTACATATATCTTTTTTCTCCATTGAATTCTATTGAGTGTCATATTTTTATTTAATTATAATAGATTTAGTTCATTTTTATACAATATGCCGAAGTCTTTTTTAGGTTTTTCTCCGTTTTTCTTAATGTAAGTTGAATCAAAAACATCTACTTTCCTGACATGATCAATAGATGTTCGACATTTGATCTGACCAAACCATCTAAGATGACCTTCTCTAATTTTCTCCACCACTGTAGCTACACCAACCCTATCACAGATATGTACATTTCTCATTTTGTCTCTAAGTGTCAACCCACTCATCCACCTAAGCATTCTCATCTCAACATTATTTAACTTTGTTTTATGTTTCTCTTTTAAAGTCCAACATTCTGTGCCATCGAGCACTGTAGGTCTCACCACCATCCTCTAAAATTTCCTTTCAGTCTAAGCGGTACTTTTCTATCACACAATAGACCACGACATTCCTCCACTTCAACCAACCAACTTGAATTTTACTAATAACATCCTCATCTATATCACCATCACTTTGAAAAATATACCCGAGATATCTAAAACGTTCACACTTTTTAATGATTTGATCACCCAAAATTATAACTTTGTCACTACATATACTACTTCTAAAGTTACATTCCATGCATTCAGTTTTATATCTACTCAAACGAAGGCAATTAGACTCCAATGTTGATCTCCACAATTCAAGTTTTTCATGAACTCTTGCTCTAGTCTTAGCCACAAGAAGGATATCATCAGCGAAAAGCATACAACAAGGTACATCCTCCTGTAAATATCTAATAAGAGCATCTATAACTAAAGCAAAAAAATATGGGCTTAAAGCCGATCTCTAATGTAATCCAATGGAAATAGGAAAATACTAGGTCAATCCTCCTTTTGTTGGAACACAAATAACAACTCTGGCATACATATCTTTAATGACTTGAATGTAAGTTCTATCAACACCTTTCTTCTCTTGAATTCTCCAAAGGACTTCTCTTGCAACATTATCATAAGCTTTTTCTAAATCAATAAAAACATATAGATTCTCCTTATTATCTTTGTACTTCTCCATCAAACCTCTCAATAAATGTATAGATTTCATAGTAGACCAGTCAGACGTAAATCCAAACTGATTATGTGAAATCTTTGTATCACATCTTAACCTATGTTTAATTGCCCTTTCACATAATTTTTGAAGTATGACACATCAACTTAATTCCTCTATAATATGCACTCTTCTGCATCAGCTATATTCTTAAAAATTGAGATCAAAATACTTTTTCTCCATTCCTCATGTATCTTTTTAGTTTTTAACATAATATTAAAGAGTTTAGTAAGCCAAAAACTCTTTAATCTCCTAAATATGTCCACACTTAAATTGAGATATCATCAGGTCCTACTGATTTTCCACCCTTGATTTTCTTTAAAGTTTCATTAATTTTTTTTTACTAATGTGACGGTAAAAATAAAATATTTTAAAGTTTCATTAACTTTTTTTTACTAATGTGGCGGTAAAAATAAAATATTCTATTATTATTAATAGTACTAAGGTAACTCTGATGTAATCCAATGGAAATAGGAAAATACTAGGTCAATAACAGTACTAAGATAACTAAACTAGGTCATATTTTCTGAAACTTCATTGAAAAATTTATCACAATTACTCACCCACAAATGCTCCATATATTCCTTTAAAAAACATTTTTTTATTTTCATTTTTAATACATTTAACTTGAATTAAATCTTTACTTTATTTTTTTTTGTTTGGCTAATTTATACATATATTTTACACCTTATTTAATATTTAATCTATTATAAAGATAGACTCCCCACGGCCTAGCTAATATTTTTTCTAGTTTTTTAAGTTTTTACATTTAAAATAATTTTTATAACACAAATTTTTATCTTTTATCTTTTCATGACTCCTCTTTGCTAAACTTGAGATTCCACATATTGGTCCTAACCTCTAA